GCAAAGACCGGATAAACTCATCGTCACGACCGGTGAAATGTTCCCTACTACTCGCTTACTCGAGGATGAGGTAGAAAACACATCGGAAATGGACGGGGTGGAGCATCTGGGTCAATACGTGTTCGAAATGACCCAGGCAAAGGTTAAGGCTTTGGGTGGACAGGTTAATGTTCAGGTTGAGGCAGACGAGCAGGATGGTGATGTGGGTGAGGAACTTGGCGCAGACATGGGGGAGGAGGATCCGTTCCATGAGATTAGTTAGGCCGGTTTGATAGTGAAAGGCGAAAGTCCAAGATACCCAATACCGAAGCTACTTGATCTCTGTACAGGAGTTTTTGACGAGCACTCTGCAGGCCTTTAGGAGGCGCTTAACACCGCCTGGGCTCGATCGATGCCAATTCTACGTTTTCATAAATTTCTTCCCTTCTGAATCTGCAGATGCGTGTCCTTATTTCATTGCACTGATTGAGGAGGTACAGGTACAATACCCAAGGTGTTGGATGCTGTGCCGGAGTGCGAGGAGTCCGCATTATGTATTTAGGCACGATCACGAATAAATGTCACCTGAAACACGCGTACAGTGCAATGCAGTCAAGATATTCCATTCAGTTGAAGAACGCCTAGTAGCCATGTCATGCCCTGTGGTATGTTATTCATGTTCACCCTGCCATAGCACATCATTCCAGTGTGCCGCATTGTATCACATATCAGCCCGTTCCCTTGCCACCCGTCGCACTCTTCTGCAGTCACTCCCCAATGTCCACAGAAATATACAGTGAAATGCCGTCCCGTTGATCAGCAAGAATCGATTCGTTCCATCGCCCCTCTGTTGTGACTCGACAAGTCTCAGAAGACGATGGGGAGCTATGCTTTGGTCGTGAAGTCCGTCTCCGTTGGGAGTAATCCACCATCGGCGGCCTTTTCGCATGTGCAGCTACTTGAGTCCCTCTTGCCACAGGCGCATGTGGCTCCCGTAGGCGCAACATTCTCCGTCGCAGCTCGATCGCAGGTACATTGGCCGGCAGGGCGGGCTCCTTTATGTCCAAGTCAGTTCGCTTGTTTTTGCATGAAAGAGGGAGTCATGACAGAAGTGTCAAGCAGGGTATAACATACTACACGAGCATCGTGGTCCTTGCAAGGTGTTCTCTTGGTTCTTCTTCTCGCAAGTGCAGTGCATGGCGGAGGATTTGCCGCACGAGCAAGTAGCCTTCTGAGCGCAAATGCAAGCCTCGCTGCGACCACAGCAGGTGGTTGGTTTGACCATGGTTGCGGGTGAGAGTTTTTGTGTTCGTTTGGTGGTAAATGTTGTGTTCTGTTCAGTGGTTGGTTCTGCGTAGAATGGAACGATAGACGTAATCGATGTCTGGCTGTGCAGGGAGAAACTGGAGAGACTGTTTCTGAGCGCAGGTGCGTATGAACGGAGGGGTTTATATGTTTCTGTGAATGACGTACCAAGGCTGAGGGCTGACAATTACTTGGGTGATTATTGGTCAGCCTTGCTTGCTATGGAGCATTTTGTGGTGACACCAGCCAATAACGATCATTTCATTTGCAAGGAGACCCGTTACGACTATTTGTCCCGTCGCAGGTGATTGTCAGCGGTGGTATGATCTTCCCCTTTGTTGCCCCTTCAGCCAACTGCAACCGACTCCGCTCACCTTGTATGTCATGGATACGTCCCTTACAGAAATATTTGGTTGCAGAACGACAAGAAGGGCATCTATTGATATGGTCTCAGCACACGCTTGCTACTGCTGGCCTCCTGTCACACCATTTCCTCGACGAATCCAACCAGCCATATGCACCTCGTAGACTGCAACTTTCCCTTAATATGCACGCGTTTAGCATCCTCCCTTCGACATTGCGTTAGACCTGCTTCGAAAGAGTCCGCCTCAAAGTCTCACCAGACAGGGGTTTGCCACACTCCTCGCAGCAGTCCGCAAGCTGGGGCCGCCCGCTCAGAATATCCACCGTCTCCTTCATCGACAGCCAGAATTCACTCTTAGGCCTACGATCCTCCCAATCGGTACCTGTAGCTTCAAGACCTGTAGCGCCCCCCATCGGAGTGAAAACAACTTCAGAGCCTTGGATACCAATGACAGCTACTGACAACGGGTCGTCTGCAATCCAGTCCTTGGACTTGCCGGTAAACCGGTCCTCGATATGTTGCATACACTTGATCGCCATCCGGAGGGCACGGATTCGATCCATAGGCGAAGGCTTGCCACCCTGCTGATAATGACCAGGTACGGCTGCTCGAGACTCGAACCGACCTCGGGCTTCCTCTTTGATCATATCGGCAATTACCTGTGTCGTGTACGTGGTACTAGCTCTTTCATTTCGAAGGATGATTTTGCCCGCTCTCGACGCTCCTTGATCGTTCTTGAAGTTCTCTCGCAGGAACTCAATATCCCTCGCAATCATATGGATATTGATTCCTTCCTCGGGGATGTACACCGCAAGTGCGCCAACCGAGAGACCGGCCATCGTCGCAAGATAACCTGACCGACCTCCTTGTGTCTCGATGACGAACACCCGTCGCCTTGACGATGAAGCAGACTGCCGAATGGCGTCGCAGAATTGGATCAGCGTGTTCAAGCACGTATCACTGCCGATAGAGTATTCAGTGCCAGGGACGTTGTTCGATACTGTCGCAGGTAGCACGACCAGCGGGATCTTGAAAACCTCATATTGTTCTCGCGCCTTTCTCAGTTCACTTGCGGCAGTGAAAGCTTCAAACCCACCAATCAGAAACAGTGCATCAAACTTGTATATCCCGAAGCATTCAGCGGTTTTCTTCATGTCCGCACTCGGTAGTCCACGGTTCGTGCCGATTTCAGAGCCCCCTTCGTTGACCCATGGATCTACGTCGATCCACCGACACTCACGTACAGACCCTAGCGGCTTATCGTCGTGGTGTCGTTGGAGACCTGGGAAGCCATTGTGGATCGCAATTGGAGTATGACCGCGAGTCAAGCAATATGCAACGGCCGCGCGCGTAGCTGGATTCATACCCCCGGCAGGGGCTCCGACGTGTATGATGGCGATCCTCAGCCTCTTCTCCTTGGGTAAGAGCAGAGCAGGGTGATCCGTGGAAGTGGTGATGACATAACTATTGTAGTATTCCTTGAATTCGACGTCGCGCAGCTGCATAGCTTTGTCAAAGTCCTTGGCCGCGATAGCAGCACTGACCGACTTGGTCAAGGCTACTGTCTCCATTAGGTTGGAGCGTTCAATCTTGTTCTCCCGGATTGTTATGACTGGACTGGGTGTGCTTGGAGTAGCTTCTAGGACAGCTTTCACCGCTTCGACGCCTTGCAGTGTCGACAGCCAACGGTCGTAGAAGCATGCATGCCCACCACGTTGTGTATGGCCTAGAACCGTGACGCGTGTATCAAGCTTGAGCTTCTGCGTTAGAAGATCTTTAACCTGGTTCGCAGTGATCCTGTTGAGTTCTCGATCGTGGGCCCCCTCCGCGATGATGACAATCGACCTTCTCTTGCCTCTCCGTCTGTGAGTGGCGATTATATCGCACATTTGATCTTCCCAACCAACCCGAGGAGGTTTCTCGGGAATGAAGACGAAGTCAGCGCCTGTAGCTATAGACGCCATGAGGGCTAGCCAGCCACAATGACGCCCCATAACTTCAATCACGAATCCTCGTTGATGGGAGGCGGCAGTGTCGAAAACGTCGTCAACCGCGCCGCAGATGCGTTCGAGAGAGGAGTAACAACCGATGGTGGCGTCGGTACCAGACATATCGTTGTCAATGGAGCCAACTAGACCGACGATATTCAGGTGCTGAAAGGGGTCAACTTCTGCCTGGGTCAGCTCTCCAGTTTCCACCAGCTCTTTGAGTAGACTGGGCCATTCTGCTCTGAACTTGTCAGCACCAGTCAAGCTACCGTCACCACCGCAGATGACAAGGGCATCAATGCCGCGCTCAACCATGTTTTTCGCTGCTTTCAGTCGGCCCCATCTTTCCATGAACGCCATGCATCTTGCAGTGCCAATCAGTGTTCCTCCTCGAGACAAGTATCCTCTCACATCTTCCCAGTGCATCTCTTTGATCAGATCGCCGCCTTGCACCAGGCCTTCGTAGCCTTCATAGATCGCATAAGACTCGCAGCCCATGTGGATGGACATACGAACAACAGCTCGCACGGCGCCGTTCATGCCAGGGGAGTCACCTCCGCTGGTCATGACACCAATTCGACGCTTCTTGGGAGGAGCGGGCACACCGTTGGCAGCCATTTTACTGGCAGCCGTAGGCAGTGGACGGGATTAGAGGGATTGGTCTGGGTTTCAGGCTGGTCTCTGGTAAGGGAATCGGTATAAAATGATTGAGGATTGTTTGACCGAGGGGCAGGCCAACGCGAAAGGTGCCCTTATTTGTACGGGAGGAGGAAAAAGAAACGTGAGAGAACTTGAGGCCAGAATGGGAGGATTGGGATAGTAATAATGAACTTGTTAGAAGATAATGCAAGAGTCTATCAGCAGATAGCATACGAAGTCTGTCGTGCCGAGCAGCAACAGCTGAAGCCGCAGAACGTCATTCGTGTATCCTCAGTGCTTAGCAGCAGAACTATGAGTGGCTGTTGGGCGCCCGCAGGGCCTAGCGGCCTCACCAGCCCAAGCTCCAGCACCCCCACCATGACCGAGCCTGCCGATAGGCCTAGAGGCATCGCCCCGGTGATAGAGAGGGGCAGCAGAAGAAATTTTAGGTAAGAACAGTAGCGGCCCCCTAGTCCCCCCCAACTTACTATCTCTAGGCTTGTCACGGCCCAGGGCTCTCTTTCGTTACTGCGCGCTTGAGTTCGCGATCCAGATTTTCACCAATCAAAACATGCTCCAACCTTTCCACCTCTGCTTTGTAGGCTTGACTGCCAGTCATTTGATACAGTAATAACTTAGGCTTCGATCGAGAGGACCTCCCTACGGACCACGGACTGATAAGAGGTTGCGCACATTGCCCTGTAGTTGGTGCGGCACCAAGCATCATGTCTGAGTTGGACACCATCAGCCTGCTGATTCCTCCTGAGCCTTCGTCCAAACCCCAGGATCTCCAAGCGCAGATTCAACAGATTATCGCACAGAAAGGTCATTTTCGTCATGTCACCCAAAGTTCGCTACTCGCCGAGATCCAGGGCAAAGCCACTGCGCCGGACGCAGTCCAGGTTGATCCGGACGATGAGCCCCAGGCCGAAGATGATACTCCGCAGAAGCGTCAGGAACGTGTTTGGAAGCGGCGAGATGAGATGCTAGAGCGCATCAAGTGAGTCTCCTTTGACCACCCATGATTGCGAAGTCTGACCCGTATACAGCTATGCACAAAACGAGGTCCTCTGTGCCCTGGACTTTGTGTCATTCCTGATTTCTCAGCAGTCAGTTCCCGCTCAGCATTCCATGTCGCCCGCCCTTCAACAGGCCGTTCCTGTCGGGACGCTGGCCTCGAGAGTATTGAAAGACAGACCAATTCCTCCTTCGACGAAGCGGCGGCTGGCCGCTGTCTCTCAGGGCTGGAGGGCTGAGGGCTTCCATTCAGCATCCCAAAAGCTGGCGGCAGCTTCTGGTAGACTTCAAACCGAAGCTGAGCGCGAGGCAGAGTATTGGCACCAGATTGCTGATCTCAATAGCAGAGGATGGTCAGTTTCGCGACTTCCACGAGACCGCAAGGCCATTGGCGTACATTTCGGATTCTCTGAGTCTGCACCGCAATTTCGGGACCGAGGCTTCGCTCTTCTTCGACAGGGCTCTGATGGTTCAGTCGTTCTGGACCGACAGGTTGGGCTTAAGAAACGCAAACGGCTGGGCGTCTACGTTGTGCGGGATGGCATCAAGACAGGCGCTTTCGACCTTCAAACCATTGGGCCTTCCGGTACGACGGAACTTGACCAGAGCCTCAACGACTACCGCAATGCCATTTTCGAGGAAGAGCTGTTCTATGAGATATGCCGTGAAGCGCGTCTTGTGGCCAACCAAGGCATTACTACACGGTCGCAGAGCGTAGAGGTTGACGTCGGCGGCGAGTACCACTTATTGCTCGTGTCATCCAGCGAAAAAGAAGATGTTACGTCTCCCAATGCTGCAGACAATTTGACAGCTCAATTCGTGGCCATATCTCTACGGTTGTTGTTGATTGCTGCTCATGAGCAGAATCTCATCAGGCGATCGGAAAAACCGCTGCCAATGACCCCCAAAGCACGACCAATCCCAGAGTACGCGTTGCTCCGACCTATTTTGGCACATTTACGACACCGTGCAGAAGCGGCAACCTTTTGGGATAAGTGCAGAGCGTTGCTGGGTGCCTTCAAGCGAGCAGATCTACCGATCTCGGTGTCGATGGAGGCCTCGAACGCCACAATTTTCCAATTTCTGCAGATGGAACGACCCAACACCATGCTGGCAGGCTTGATGGTACCTGTAAAAACCAGCTTCAAGATACACCTGACAGCACAGCGAAAGCTGCAGATTGGACTAGCCACATTTCTTGGGCCGCCTCTGTTCGGCTCTCGCTACGAAATATCGTCGATTGATTTTGGGCTTGCAACCATAGCGTCATCTCACCATGAAACTCGCGACGAGGCGCTGTCATTCATCCGACACATACTGTTGTTGGATCTTGTTGCGCACAGTGAGACACTGGCCCTAGAGGTGCAAGCTGCGACCCGTTCAGAGTTGGATAAGAGCAAACAAACAGAATGGGCCGTCTCACAGCCGCACGACGGTGAGCTGAGCTTGTACGACGCTCAGGAGGCCATCGAGAAGCTGCAGATTTCGGTGCAACACGAAAGTATCTGCGTCAAGTTGAGCCCCGTGGGAAGGAGAAGCGGTGTCCAGAATATGTTGTGGTCCTGGACATCGGCCGGCTGTTCCAAGACAGAGGGAGGTGTGACGAGTGTGCAGCCTGATTTCACTTTTGATGGAGCAATAAAGCAGGCAATAGAGAGCAGTAGCCAGAGCAGTACTACTTAATCCGCCTGTGTCAGACTGAGCGCTGCACCTATTCTTCGAGGAATACGACATACCCAGCTAGAGGGCAATAGGACTCGTTCGACGCGAGCTTCGTTTATATATGTGACACCACAAGTGATATGCCGCTGTCATTACGTTGTTCTCTGTCCGTAATATGCTAAGGTAGACGAAGGTTCTCCGACGAAGCATTCAATTTGTACCGTTCAAAGCGAGATCGAGAATTTAATTCGGGAATGGTTGATACTGGCGGGGATAAAACATAATTCCATGTCTCTAAAATCCGTGATATTACATCTTGATCATGACCACAACTCCATCCACATACGCCTCTAATTGTTTCGTATCATAGTCAGTCATTCACCGCCGCCGAAGATGCACTGGTAATTACTCATTCAAACCTCTTGGAGTCTATGGCTCTTCCCTCAGTGAACGGAGATGGGCAGCCAACTCCACACAAACGACATCGACCCGCTCGAACCTGCCAGGAATGTAGACGAAGGAAAGTGAAATGTGATCGACTGGAACCGTGTGGCCATTGTGTCCTCACCCGAAAGCAATGCTGTTACAGCCATAAATCAGCTGCAGCCAGTCGCACAAAGCTTGCCCGTGGGAGTGTCTCTGTGGTGCGTGAGCAACCATCTGATCCCACAACACAGCTGGCTTCAGACTCCGCCTCAGATGCTTCTCATCTCGTGGTTCGTGCGCCAAAAGATCAACTCGCTGCCCAATTCTCTCGTGAGACGACGAGGTGGTCCGGCTCTTCGGCGACTACCGCCAATCTTGACGATGTTGCAACTGGTCCACAGGATGGAAGTATTTGCTTGAATAAATCCAGACTATTTGGCCAGAGTCACTGGTCGAATGCTACGCTTGAGGTCCGCCGTCCACACCTCCCTTCCGAATATGTCGAATGTCTTGATACTTAATTAATGCTCAACAGCTCCAAAAGACAGCTGCAGTGTTGAGTGCTGAAATTGGAAATGCCACGGACAATGAAAGTCTTGCACGACTGAAATGGGAGATTGGTTCTCTCCTTCAAAAATGCAAATATCTGTCCAGGGATATCAAGTTGTCTCAACTAAGCAGGCACTCGTTATTTACACAAGCATATCCGTCCATCGCGAAAGAGTTCGCCGATCAGATGGTACACTTGTACCTTGCTTACTTCGAGTCTGTGTTTCGCATCTTACATATTCCCTCTTTCTGGATCGAATACGAGCAATATTGGAGCGCTCCCACGGAGGCTGATACCATTACTCAACTCAAGATCCAGCTAGTTGCCGCCATCGGAACTGTCGTTACCCAAGATGCTACCAAAACGACAGGCATCTATTCCACGGCGTGTCAGTGGCTATATGCCGCTCAGGACTGGCTGGCTGGACCCATGAAAAAGAACCGCATCAGTATCGGTAGTCTGCAGATTCAGTGCTTGCTGATCCTGGCTCGACAGGCTCTTTCTGTTGGGGGAGATGTCGTTTGGATATCGATGGGCACTGTCGTTCGGACCGCGATGCAAATGGGTCTACACCGTGATCCGAAACATTTCAAGAGTATTGGCATTCTGTAAGGCTCGCTGAACTTGTACATTATTCCCGTGACTGACATAGTGTTGTTGATGCTAGTGAAAGCGAGGTTCGTCGAAGACTCTGGGCGACCATCCTGGAGCTGGATATCCAGTCAGCCTTGGACGCCGGAGTACCACCTACTCTCTCAGTACATGATTTTGACACAGGGCCTCCCTCCAACATCAACGACAAGGATATTGATGAGCAAACCGAGGCTCTCCAGGAACATCCCACAACGACGGCGACTGATTCATCACTACAGCGATTCCTCCTCCAGGCTCTCCGTCCAAGGTTAGAAGTTGCCCGTCGCATGAACGGGCTAGTACCCGCGGTTTCCGAGACATCGTACAAAGAATTCTGCACTCTGACGACCACGATCATCAGCGCCTGCCGGGCCTGTAGCTCGCATATACCCAGGACGAGCAGCTTGGACGCAGCCTCGTTCCACCACCACCTCGCAGACCTCCTTCTCCGCCGCTTCATACTCCATCTTCATCGGCCCCTTGCTAGCCGAGCCCGAAGTAACCCACTGTACTATTTCTCGAGGAAAATGAGCCTGGATGCCGCCATGGCTATCCTCACCCCGGTCCCCAAGAACCCTGAATTCGCGCGTCTCGTGCTAGTCGGGGCGGGTATGTTCAAGAACCGCATGATCCACGCGTCCCTGGCCGTGGCGTCGGAATTGCTCATGGATGTTGAGGAGCAAAGCCCGCTGGAATATCCCACGCCCTCACGGGAATCCTCGGCCTATCGAAAGATGTTGACGGACGCGTTGCAAGAGGCGCTGCGGCAGTCTACCGAGCGGATCCGTCTCGGGGAGACGAATGTCAAGCTACGTATGAAGCTGAGTATGGCTCTGCGCCAGGCGGAGGTGGCAGCATACGAGACCTCGTCATCGATGCAGCAGTTGGCCCAAGTCGCCAAGGAGAGCCTGGAGTTTTCATACGCGATCATCCAGGAGCGGGCAACAGCTCAAGGAGTTGACATTGAAGCTGGAGGACGGAGCGGAATGTCCGAGAACGTTGACCAGGATGACTTCGACCCAGAGCACTTCTCGCTCGACCCGAACTTTAGCTTGGACGACCTCTTCTTCCTTCCTACAGATCTAGATGTGAATGGTGTAGCAAGGCTTCCTCAAATGTAAGACTAGGGGAAAATAGAAGACGCATCTAATTTGCTATATCGTTAACATTTGTCCTCGTTCGGTGCAGTACATTACAAATTGCTCTCTGTCGAATCCTTAAATGAATACATGGCCCTTACGACCGCCCTTACTAGGTATGCAAGATTAGGCATAAGTCCGAACTCCGCATCCTGACCGAATTGCGCGGAGCCGGTAGCGGTTGGGGAAGATCCGCGCCCGCAACCGGCACGTGGCGGCCATAGTGTTCGCGTATGCGTGCAATATATCATGTCTATAAAACCATGGAATGCCGGACGTTCAACTGAGGAAACCATCTCATTTACCATCTCATTTACCATCTATACCAAGCGCGGGTGAACCTCAAACTTACCTCTACCGCCGGTCCTCAACAGTCATGGCATTACCAGCCCTGCCTAGTCAGCACCGGGCCCTCGTCCTCGAAACCCTTGAAGGAGGATTCTCGGTCAAAACTGTCCCAACTCCAAAACCAGATGTTGGTAGTGCCGTCGTACGCATCCTTGAAGCCGGAGTGATCTCATATCATCGTGAGATCTATAATGGGGAGCGAAAGTATGAGTTCCCGAAGCCACTGGTCGGGGGATTGAGTGCCATAGGACGCATCACCGCCGTGGGCCCAGATGCCGTGGTGCTAAACCCTGGCCAGCTCGTCTGGGTGGATTGCGTAATCCACGCCCGAGACAATCCGGACTCTCTGTTTCTCAGCGCTATACACGAAGGCAGTGACGCTGGAAGTCGGAAATTGAGTAGCGATGTCTGGCGCGACGGAGCGTTCGCTGAGTACATGAAGGTGCCACTCGAGAATTGCATTCAGCTAGACGAAAACAGGCTGTGTTCGGAGCTGGGATACACCACTCGCGAGTTGATGTATATGATGTACCTGCTGGTGCCGTTCGGCGGCCTGAGGGATATCCACCTCGAACCCGGTGAGACGATCGTTGTGTCTCCTGCGACTGGCGGCTTTGGTGGTGCGGGTGTTCAGGTCGCAATAACAATGGGGGCAAGGGTGATTGCTATGGGGAGAAACGAAAAGGAGCTGGCCAGGTTAAAGGAGCATGTCAAGAATGGGACACCAGGAGCCAACATCGAAACCGTCAAGATCATAGGGAATTATGAAGCCGATGTCGCGTCACTGCAAGCTTTCGGGACCATCGACGCCGTCATCGACCTCACACCTCCTTACGCATGTCAAACGATGCACCTGAAGAGTGCCATTCGCTCCTTGCGTCGAGGGGGTAGGTGCAGTATGATGGGCTACGTTGAAGACGTGATGAATTGGAACGTCATGGCCCTGAACCAAACGTTGAAAGGGAAGTTGATGTATGAGAGGGAGGACATTGTGCTGTTTGTTAAGATGTTGGAGCGCGGCATGTTCCCTCGTGGAAAGAACCTCGTGGATCCCAAGGTGTTTAAGATGGAGGAGTGGAAGGAAGCACTTGATGCAGCAGCGGAATGGACAGGACTTGGTAAGACAGTTATGATTGAGCCATGAGTGTTGACCACTTCTTCCTCAGGGACATCTTAGAGAGAGTATGTGTGTCTTGTGTTTGTGTGCGAGGGAGTGGAAGCGAGTGAAGAGGATATCAACAATATTCGGGTGGCATCTTGCCTCTTTTGTCCAATCGTCTGGATTGTCCTATCAAGTGTTGCCAAGGTTCCAAGATGTGTTAAACGGCATCATCTCTTGCCTAATACGGAGTGTTGCATCGACTATTCAATTGCTTGGCATCATCAGCAAACGTGTCTTCCAATCCATCAGCCAGCAACAGCAACAGCTATACTGTTGCTCTTCCCTTCAGTCTCTGTAAAACTCGTACCCGGTTCAAGCCAAAAACGCTTCCTCTAGATTCCGCCCGCTTTTCAGGTTGTTCGCTGCGCAAAGCCGCAAACAAACAGGATGACTACCCGATATCGAGTCGAGTGTTTGTCACCAATCTCATATATCAAGCAGTTGTCTCAAAACCCTTGCTAATAATGGCTAGATGCACTGAAGGCAAGTAAAGCTAGCTGCTGTAAGGCAGGACACGATTATGCTGACTCTGATACGGCTGAAGACCCATCGCAGAGACCAACTTGTATGTAACTAATCTTGTCACGCGTCCCCTGATTGCTGATTCCGCCTCGTTAGATCGAATGGATCAAGGTGAGAGGGCAATTGGCAGTCGGAGTGCCTAGCAAAACTCTCATTACGTACTCTCTAGGGTCTTCTTGCGGTTCCATTCGTCCTCAACTCGCAACCAGCCGTCGAATACGACGGCTCCAATGGCCAGAGCTTGGATACCATGGCGAGGTCAGCGCGACAGCGATTCGCTGAGATCTTCAGAGATGTCGAAGATTTGATACTCGATCACAGTGCGTTCGAAGACTAGCAGAAGGAGGGTTAAACGAGCTGACTAGTCGCAGTCAACCAGCAAGCTGTGTCGAATCCAAGGTCTAAACTCAATATGCTGGTGCCTACCATTTCTGCCTTTTTTACACCTCTAGCGCTAGAAGATGCTTTCCGATACCAAGATGCGAAGCGTGCCATCTCCTCCCGTCGTTTTGTTGCCCCCTCTTTCAACGACATCCGACTGATCCTCAACACTGCTCAAGTGATGGCGATGATCCAGCCAAAGCCATACAGACAACTGAAAATCAAGCTGAACCCTGGACTTGAGCTTTTGACATTCGATGGTGATGTCACACTGTACGAAGATGGAGCATCCTTGCATTCGCCTGAGGCGAACCCAGTGATCCTGCGTCTCCTTCATTTTCTGTCTCAGAATGTCAAAATCGGGATCGTGACGGCCGCCGGTTACATGCAACCCGAGCATTACTTTAACCGATTATCTGGCCTTCTTCTAGCTGTCAAGGATTCAGAGAATCTCAGTGCTGCTCAAAAGTCGAATCTGATTATCATGGGTGGTGAATCCAATTTTCTCTTCGTGTTCGACGAAAAGGAAGAACATTGCTTGCGGTATATTCACCGGCGAGAATGGATTTTAGATACCATGAAACACTGGTCAGAGTCAGCCATCCAAGAGCTTCTCGACCATGCCGAGTCTGCGTTTCAATCATGCATTCGCACACTTCGGTTGGAAGCCAAAGTACTCCGGAAGGAACGGGCAGTCGGGATTTACGCAGCTGACCAGTCCAAGAAGCTCACCCGTGAACAACTGGAGGAAACTGTCCTGGTGGTTCAGCAGGTGGTGGAGACCTCGATCAATACAGCCAACTCCGAGAAGCCAGCTTCGTATGCGGACATCCCTTTTACCGTCTTCAATGGGGGTGCCGACGTCTTCCTCGACATCGGAGACAAGTCCCTAGGAGTACAGTCATGTCAGAAATGGTTTGGGGGTATTCCACCTTCTAGCACGCTGCATGTTGGAGACCAGTTCCTGAGCGGAGGGGGCAATGACTTCAAGGCTAGAAGTGCATGCTGTTGCGCGTGGATTGCCAGTCCAGCAGAGACTGTGGCATTATTGGACGAAATGATAGCTCTGGCGAAAGGCGAATAAGCGCTGGGTTGGCCGCATGAAGTTCAGAGGTCGGGAAGAACCAGACGAACAATAGACTTTATGAACCCTGGATGCAAAGTGGCCACGTACGGATGATGATGCGAGTACTCATGCTTACCGGAGTGGGAGGGTCCTAGAAGCCGCCCAGCGCATATGATGTGATGTGAGACGGGTAAAGTCCTCGTCCAAGTCTATTATTTGTGGTGCAGTTGTGCAGTTGTGCAGTTAGCGCTACTAAATAAATTCGGGGGCTCGATCTGTTGCAGGGGTTCGGATCCTTTCTGGGGGGTCGAGATGGCGCAGGGCCAAACTGCGGGTAGTGCGGACGTTGACGACCACATCATAGTTCATCCACCATCTCTAATTAACACGAGGCTGGCTCTGCTCGGCAGTCGTATTCTTGTTGAAGACAGGAGATAGTCAATGCTGACTCTCGTGTCCTTTGGCTACTGTGGTCCATCCTTGTGAAATGTGGTCCTTTCGTCGGACAACGACTTGTTGATTGAGACCAGTCTTCCCCGAATTGAGTCGTCCCTGGTCCTCCTCCTTACGACCCTGCCCGCACACCGTTTCCTGTTGCATTCAGCGCGAAGGCCTCGCGGCGCGTGGATGCCGCCCGTCTCTTACCTGTCACCATGTCGTCGATGCGCGGTCTCGTCCAATTCATAGCCGACCTCCGAAATGCCCGGGCGAGAGAACTGGAGGAGAAGCGAATCAATAAAGAACTGGCCAACATCCGCCAGAAATTCAAGAGCGAGAAATTGGATGGCTACCAGAAGAAAAAATACGTCTGCAAGTTGCTCTACATCTACATCCAAGGGTACAACGTCGACTTTGGACACCTGGAAGCCGTTAACCTGATCTCCGCAACCAAATACTCCGAGAAGCAGATCGGTTACCTTGCCGTCACCCTATTCCTCCACGAGCAGCACGAGCTCCTGCATTTGGTGGTCAACAGTATCCGAAAGGACCTGCTGGATTACAATGAACTCAACAACTGTCTGGCCTTGCATGCAGTGGCCAATGTGGGTGGTAGAGAAATGGGCGAGGCGCTCAGTGCAGACGTCCATCGGCTGATGATCTCCCCTACCTCCAAATCCTTTGTCAAGAAGAAGGCCGCCTTGACGCTGCTCCGGCTCTATCGAAAGCACCCGGCTATAATTCAAAGAGAGTGGGCAGAAAGAATAATATCACTGATGGACGATCCTGATATGGGTGTGGTGCTCTCTGTCACTTCTCTCATCATGGCTCTGATTCAAGACAACCCGGAGGCATACAAGGGGAGCTATGTCAAGGCAGCTCAGAGGCTGAGAAAGATTGTCATTGAGAACGACATCTCGCCGGATTATTTGTACTACAAAGTCCCTTGCCCGTGGATCCAAGTCAAATTTCTAAAGTTGCTGCAATATTACCCTGCTTCAGGTAAGTACGACACCATTTCCCATCCTCGTCCGAGCGATTCTGACTTCAGAGTAGAAGATTCGCACATACGCGATATCATTCGCGAATCACTGCAGGCCATCATGCAAGCAGCTACAGAGGCGCCCAAAAATGTGCAACAGAATAATGCTCAGAATGCCGTATTGTTTGAGGCCATCAACCTTCTCATCCACCTTGATACAGAGCACCAGCTCATGATGCAGATTTCTTCCAAACTGGGAAGATTCATTCAGTCGCGTGAAACAAACGTGCGGTACTTGGGTTTGGATGCCATGACCCATTTTGCTGCCAGGTCCGACACTCTGGATCCCATCAAACGGCACCAAAATATCATCATCAGTTCGCTGCGAGACCGAGATATCAGCGTTCGGAGGAAGGGCTTGGATTTGTTATACAGCATGTGTGACACAACCAATGCCCAACCTATCGTCAATGAACTGTTAAAGTACCTGCAAACTGCGGATTTCTCAATACGCGAAGAAATGACGCTCAAGATTGCGATTCTAACGGAGAAATACGCCACTGATGCTCAGTGGTATATTGATATCTCCCTGAGACTGCTGGCCATGGCTGGGGATCATGTCAGCGACGAGGTCTGGCAACGAGTGGTTCAGATTGTCACCAATAATGAAGAACTGCAACCCTACGCAGCACAGCATATCTTTGACTATTTGAAAACCGACAATTGCCACGACACGCTTGTCAAAATTGGAGGTTATATTCTTGGAGAGTTCGGCCACCTAATAGCCGACAACAAAGGATGTAGTCCGATCGAGCAACTGATGGTGCTACAGACCAAGATGCTGTCAGCCCCCGATCCCACAAGGGCTCTGCTGCTGTCAACATTTGTCAAGTTCGTTAATTTGTTCCCAGAGATCAAACCACAGTTGCTCCAGATGTTCCAGTTCTACAGCCACTCGCCCGACTCAGAGTTGCAACAGAGGGCATGTGAATACTTGACTATTGCGACTCTACCGACTGATGACCTACTACGAACCATTTGCGACGAAATGCCCCCGTTTTCTGAACGAGCCTCCATCCTCTTGCAAAGGCTGCACAAGAAGAGTGCCGGGATCAGCGAAAGGAGAACGTGGGTGGTTGGCGGCAAGGACGCCAATGCCGATGAAAAAGAAGTTTTGCTGGCCCAGCAGACAGGGCTCAAGCGATCCTTTACCACTATCGTCAATGGGGCAACTGGAAATACGAATGGCGCCGCAGCCACACCGGGACAGAATGGAACGACCAGTGCTGCAAAGGACCTGGAAGGACTGGATATGAACGGCCATGACGATGACGTGAAGTCTTCCAGTCTCACGAGCACGGTCCATCTTTCGCCAGACTGGGAGATCGGCTATGACAACCTGTTCTTCGCCGACGAAGGTGTCTTGTACGAGGATCCCCAGATTCAAGTCGGCATGAGGGCAGAGTATCGTGGTCATCTCGGGGTGATCAAGCTGTACTTCACCAACAAGGCCTCATTTTCAGTTGGCTCCTTCACGACCACTGTGGATAACAAATCGGCCCCCAGCCTCAAAATTGATAACAAGAACCTCCCTGATTCAACAGTCAGTGCAGACTCGCAAGTCCAACAGACCATTGTGTGTACTTCGGTTGCGCCATTCTCGGAAGCGCCCACCATCCGCATCTCATATCTCGCCGGAGCCCTGCAGGGATATACTCTGAAGTTGCCTATCCTACCCCACCGGTTCATGGATCCATCGGAGCTCTCCGCGGAGGATTTCTTCAAACGTTGGCGGCAGATTGGAGCGGGCCCCCTTGAAGCGCAAAGTACATTTGGCATGCGCAATCCTTTGGCGCCAATGAACGACCAATTTGTCCGCGAAACCGTCGCAGGATTCCGTTGGCGCCTCCTGGACAACGTGGATCCAAATCCAAAGAACATTGTTGGATGTGCGGTGTTGCAGTTGGAGAAGGGAAAGACGGGATGTCTACTCAGACTAGAGCCCAATCATCAGCAAAAGGTATGATTCCCAAGGAGCGCTGTCCTTTGTACATGATCGAGACTGACCTTTTATTTAGATGTTCCGCGTCACTATTCGTGCGACGCAGGAAAAGGTTCCTGAAATCCTGTTGAAACTCATGCACGAACGACTTGCTAGAGGGCCTCCAATTTAGGGGCGGCCTCGACTCGTGTCACCAGCATCAGCATTAGCAGGTCCGGGTATTCAGTCCTCTTCAGCGCCTGTCGTATGGTGTTCAGCGGCCCAGATGGAGCGGGTACAGCATGCATTATCCTCACGGGTGACATATAATTTGAGCATCTTCTTGTCAAAATAGCATGATGCCGTTCTTCCCTTTCTTTTTCCCCTGTGAGTGGTCAAGCTCACCGTTGGCCACAAGGTCATGAGATCCAAGCCCTCTCGTATGATAGAATGCTCTTACTTCTTCTCTTGTCCCGTATGTTCTAGCACTGTAGCCTCTTTTTTTGGAGGGCGTTCCCCAAATATCGTACTCCCTACCCGCACCTCACTACTACCCAACCTGACTGCGCTCTCAAAGTCCTCCGACATGCCCATGCTCAGCTCCAGTTCATCCTTGTCCTGCAGCCCCAGATCTGCGGCGAGTCGGTCGCGGGTGGCGCGGAGGGTGAGGAAGTCCTCGTTTTCGGTTTCCGCGGTCGTGGCCTTTGACCGCGCGATGGCGCCGATGGTCATGAGCCCCTGGAGGTGCAGGTTCGGACACTTTGTGCGGTCGCGGACGAGTCTGGCGAGGGAGACCAGCTCCACCGAGTCAGGGCGCAGGCCGCTCTTGGACTCCTCGCCCGACGTGTTGACCTGGATGAAGACCCTCAGCTTCTCCTCCATGCCCGTGTCGGCCAGGACCTGACGCCAACTGTCGCCGTGTTCCTTTTGTAATCGCTCGTTCCGCTCCGCGCGGCCTTTGTTCAAGAGGTTCGCCTTCTTCTCGCTGTCGACGCTCTCGACCGCCCACAGGTTGTCCACGTCCCTCGTCACCGGTACGCACTTGTTCGACTGCAACCCGCCGATGAAGTGCCACTTGATCGTCTTGGGCAGCAGTCTCGACTTTTCTACCAACTCCTGCACGTAGTTCTCCCCGAAATGGTCGTGGCCTTGCCCTTGCGTCCCACCGCTGGCCGCGGGGGACGAGGTGTTTTCAGGCGCCGGCGCCGGACGATGAAGGGCGAGAATGTCCGAGGCAGGCTTCAGCTTCGATACAGCAACGACCCGCACAGGAGCCGCCGGCGGAGGACTCGTGCCTGCAGGCAAGGAAGCGCACCATGCGCCATGGACTCGTTGCTGGACGGAAGTGAGGTTGTGCCAGAGGGCGGATGCGCGTTGTGGGTTTATGGAAATTTTCATGTCTGATGGGACTTCGGCGTCGTTTGTAGAGCTCATTGTCGCATTGACTAGTATCTAGGTCGCTTGGTCTATTCGAGAAAAATGAGGGCGATCCACGATAAGCTGCAGTGGTTGAAGATCGGGGATTCATGTACATTGTATATGCTTCCTGGCGATAATTTAATTTGTACCTCCGCCAGATACCACGTCATTGTTTCGATTGGAATCTGCGGCACAAACTCGCTCAACTATTACTGCACAACACATCAACATATTAACGTGAAAAAGTCCTCATTCATTAAACGGGGTATCCTCTCGTGGTGCCAGCCTGTCTATCAACATCATCAACCCATTGTCTATGGAGCGCGCAACATATGCAAAATCCTAGTCAAACTTCCATATGGCAATCGAGTCCCGGTCTATAAGTCATTTTCCCACATGCCCAGTCTATCGTCTATCGTCCATGGTCGAACGGCGTGCATATCCATGGTATGGTCAAGATTTCGTGTGAAAGAACGCCAACGCTATGAATTCAACCGTCTTACCACCCTTATTCGTCGTCTGAATCAGGTGGGTGAGGTGTCCCAGGAGGTTTATTGAGCCATTCGATACTGGAAATCAAACCATTAGCACATGGTACAGAGACTGCTCGGGTAGGGTCAGAACTTACTGTCTTAGTCTTCTTCTCACTTCCCTTTCCTTCAACTGCGCCCTCGTCATCTTCTTTTTCTTCTTCGCCTTGAACTTCATATCGCTGTTGTCTTCGACGCCTGAGTTGACGGCGGAAGCGGTGGCGCTGGATACCGCGGAGCTGACATTACTGGACCCCGGGCGTGAGTCGTCAAACCGGTTCAGGTCGATAGCAAGGTGACCCTTGTGCGTCACTTTTCCGTTGGCCACATGCCACTGTTCTGGACACAACGCTCCAACAAATTCTTCGTTATGACTGATCATGACAACGCCACCCTTGTAGTCGCGGATAGCCACAGCCAGACCACCTAGTGAATCTCGATCCAAGAAGTTGGTCGGTTCGTCGAGGACCAACAGGTGAGGGTTGTTCCACATGGCACCTGCTAGCACGACTTTCACTTTCTGGCCACCACTCAAACCCGAGATCTCGTTGTGGTTGGCGATTTCAGGATCTAGTCCAACGTCCTCAAAGTGCTTTGATATCACCTTGGGTTCGAGAATGCGATAACCTAGACCTTCACGCGATGCCTCGTGGTCATCAAACTCTTGGACCAACTTCTGAAAGCCCCACTCTAACAGGGTCTCTCTTGAGACCTGCGAGTTGAACTTTGGAAGCATGTTTCGCCATTTAACCTCGTACTGGAACGTCTTCTTGTACTTTTGCCGGCCGATCAGATTCTCGATCTGTCTGGAACCCTTCCCATCTCCGAGGTCGATCCATTTATCCATCTGTGCCTTATCCTCAGCAGTGAGCTGCCGCGTAGCTTTCATCAAGACTTCTCGATCATCTCCATTGGCATATCTCCACTGTAGATACTGGTTTGGTGTTTTCTCCAAATGCATCTCGACGTGCTCCAAAGCATGCTGCTTGATGTATCCAATTCGCAGATTGGGATGCTTTTCCACCTTGCCCGTTTGAGGAATGGTTTCGCCAGTCAACAACTTGATCAGGGTGGATTTGCCTGCACCGTTGGCACCGATAATGGCGACTCGGGATGATAAACTTAGTTGACATGAAACGTCGGTCAAGCTAGGCTTGGATGCACCGGGATAGGTATAGCTGACGTTCGTCATGCGGATGATAGACCGTGTGTTAGACTTGACGCCGCTGAGGATGCCAGGAGGAGGGAACTTGAATTGCACTTGCGTGGCTGATAGTGTGTAATAGCTCTTGCCTTCGGGCTTGACTTTGACGAATGCCGCGAGATTTCCAGGATAATGGACCAACTTCTTGTTCTCATAGTGATAAATGTCCGTGCATACTGCGTCGAGGAAGCCAGAGTCGTGGGACACGATCAACGAAGTGATTTCTGTGTGCTTCTGGAGATACTCCTCGAGCCACTTGACATTCGCAACATCCAGGTGGTTGGTCGGTTCGTCGAGCAGGAGAACATCAGCCCTCATCAACATGGCCCTTGCCAAAGCCAGCTTCATCTTCCAGCCTCCGGACAACGAACCCACCTTGTGGGACTGTCGACCTTCGGGACCGGCTGTAAAGCCAACTTCGCTCAAGACTTCTGAGATTCGCGCTTTGCCTTCTTTGGCTATTTCGGGATCTTTGGACACATATTCAAGAATGCTGATATCAGCATCCTCGCCCTGATTGTGCTCCACGAAACACGTCTTCAGGACTTCCTTGGGCGGAAAACCTTCCAATTTCCCTTCAGCAATACTCCGCATTAGAGTCGATTTCCCTGCGCCGTTACGGCCACATAGACCGTAGCGATGTCCCTTCAGAAGTCGTAGGTTAGTGTGCGAGAGTAGTAGCATACCGCCATAAGCAAGCGAGAATTCGGCATTGACAATCTCGACCTCGTTCGGGTCCTCAACAACTGGAGCCCCAAATCTTTTGTGATCCTCTTCCACAAAGTGCTTCTGCACAGCCTCAGCAACAGCTGTACAGAGCTCGTCTGGTAGCATGTACTTCAGATACGGTCCAACCCGGGAGGGAATACGTGAGAAGATTCGAGAATTGACGTCTTCTCTAACCATTTCCGAGACATAGGTCTGGCCGGTCTTCCAGACCGACATATCCTCTTTGTTGAGACCGCCTTGGGCGCGTATTGAGCTGTCCAGGACTTTTAAAACGTCATCAGTGGTTGTTCTCGCAATTTGGCCATTGGTCACCCCATCTTTATCGTCGCCCATAGCTTTCTTCATCACATTGACGGCTCTGGTGGCGAGTTCTCGGACTTCGGGGAGGGACGCATTGTCTTTCACCCTTTGCACGCCAGGCTGTAATTTGGGCAGAAATGTTCTAGCCTCGACGGGATCGTGCACGAGCTTGGTCAAGTTCTCCACGACAACTACTGTCTGGCGGAGAACTTCTTGAGATGTCGTCGGCGTGTTGAGTGATCGTTCCAGCAACGGGGTAAGAAGAGCGAGAACAGGAGAGGTGACGATGGCGACAAAGGTCGTTTGAGAAAGGGCGTGAATCGCTTTCTGGAGAGTCTGGGCGGACGGGTGTTTCATGGTGTCGATGAGCAGGGGTATCCGAGGTGCTACATCGTCGTTTTGGAGCAAAGTCGTGAGCGAGGTCATGGTCTTGGTGGCGGCTTTGGCGACTTCAGCTTTGAGATCGTGCATACCACCCTCCACAACTGGGATAAGCTCCTTGAGCGTTTTACCCATAGAATCCCGCAATACATCCTTAGCTTGTTCCTCATCTTTCGTGCCTGTTCCCATCTGGGCCTTGTCGGCCATCTTTCCCAAGAGAGTGTAAGCACCCACAGTGCCTTGCCATTTTCCAGTTGGTTTGGACAGATAGGCCTGTAAAGCCGGGAGGAGGCCTATGACCATGGCCTCGGGTGCGAGATTCTTGAACAGTTCGTCGACGGCGTATTGCGCCGACTCACGAACTGAAGAACCCTTGTCGGCCAACCCATCGAGGACCAGATTGAAGAGGCCACCGTCTTGGATCAGGAAGACCACTTCACTCAGCGGCTGCTCACGGGGGAATCGCTCAAACATGGCCCCGA